TTTGTGAACTATGTTGACAAATGGCTTAAAATATCCTCGAAAATATCCAATATTTTATACAGTGTAATATATTAATAAAAAAATTCCAAGAGTGCATTTCATGTATACAGTCTCTACGCCGAAGATACGGCAATATTAACTATAGATAAGTATAGTAATTTGCCGAACTCATGTATTAAATATGTGGGATATATATTTGCACAAATTTGGTATTTAAATCTATAATATATGGTATTTGACTACTTACCAGATGAGGATAAGATTCCATATTGATAAATAACTTCGGAATAATATCGCAAGTAGAGAAAACAAGACAGCCAATTCAAGATAAATTGATAAAAATATCAAGATATTTTTGAAACAATAACACGATTTATACACGAGGCCTGACGAGGCTAAAGTATGCCCGTTCGCAGGTTAGATGCGGGCACGATGTAAACAATTGATGTAAACGAATCGCTGATTGGCTTAAATTGGCTTAAATTATATAAGCTCGTCGCTGAATGGCTATCTGCTAACATACGGTACGGTACGGTACGGTACGGCACGTTTGCGATAGCATATATATCTGCTTCGCAGATACAAAAATAGGTACGCGACGCGTACATGTATCTGCGAAAAAACTTGATTCACATTTTGTATTTTCTTGAAAGAAACTGAATAATGAAGATGACATGGGACAATTGAAATATTTCATCACTTATTATAATGGCAGATTAGATTTAAAACAGGGCTGTACACAGCGGGGAGTGCAGCAGGGCAAATGCTACCCCCACCCCCGCACCGAGAAAATTTAACTAACTTTATAATGTGATTATGATTGTAACAGATAATTATGCAGTCAGGAAATAAAAATTTCATGCAAACAATATTCAAAGTGTCTATACAGCCAGCTATTTAGTAAACTGTCACCTGTCAATTCAATCCATACTCATCAAATTTTCAAAACTTTGTTGTAATCATATGAAGCAAAAGTTATGTCACTTGTTGTTTACACTTGCCAATGTTAACTGTTGAGTAACATACACAAAATATTTGGTGAACATGTCGAAGACCACTGAATAATTGAGAATGTTTTGAAGGTTATGAGTGAAGTATATAATTAAATTCCAGTTCTGTGCACAGTTAATGATATACCACACTGTTCGGTTTAACACGTACAGCACATTCACACAAAAACAATCGTGTTGTGGGAGATTATCGGTTTGAGTAGAAGGTATCACAAGTTTAGTTTTGTACATTGTGTGCCATGATCAAATCCACCATATAATATATGATTACTCATTGTAGCTGTTAAGTTATTTTCCATACTAATGAATTTAGGTAAGATTAATTGTCTTGCAAGTTGGTTGTTCTGACAAAATTATCCAGCCAATATCCAGTACATTTATTCTTCATTCTTGTATTAATCTCTAAAGAAAAATATTTATGTTAGAAAGCAAAATGACAATGTAATATTGTAATGAGGCTCGGGAGGGTGAGGATTCTTTTATTTGAAAATGTTTGTAAAAATTTTGTTTAATTAACTCTAATGTGTAAAACCAAAATGTATAAGTATTTTAACTGATAACATCTTCAACCTTTGCTCTATTAAACACTACATTTGATGACAGCTTTATAGTTGGACTGTTGTTTTGAACAGAGTTATGGAATCAATATACATAAATACAGGACCAGGATTTAATTCAATATCTCCTGAGAATGTTTTCACTGTTTAAAATATTACAGAAGTCACAGAAGGATTGTTTTTAATACTGTATAAATCTTTTTGTGAACTATGTTGACAAATGGCTTAAAATATCCTCGAAAATATCCAATATTTTATACAGTGTAATATATTAATAAAAAAATTCCAAAGTGCATTTCATGTACACAGTCTCTACGCCGAAGATACGACAATATTAACTATAGATAGTATAGTAATTTGCCGAACTCATGTATTATTAAAATATGTGGGATATATATTTGCACAAATTTGGTATTTAAATCTTTAATATATGGTATTTGACTACTTACCAGATGAGGATAAGATTCCATGTTGATAAATAACTTCGGAATAATATCGCAAGTAGAGAAAACAAGACAGCCAATTCAAGATATTAAACTTGATAAAAATATCAAGATATTTTTGAAAGAATAACACGATTTATACACGAGGCCTGACGAGCAGTGCTCTCATAATCAAATTTTCGAATTCCTTAGAAAAAGCTCGAAAATTCCTCACATTTCCTTAAAATTCCTTAAATTGGTAAAATTACTACAAGGCATGATCACAGAGTTGCAAAAAGTGTTTTTTTCACCTGATTTACCTGAATTTTTCGAACTGAACGTTCTTTAAAACCGTATTTTTTGAAAATTTGAAGTTTCTAGACCGTCGGAAATGGCATTTTTAGAGTCTTTCATACCCAGTATTGCCTAGTATTGCCTAGTATTGCCTAGTATTGCCTAACAGTGAAGATAAGTATTGCTACTTTCAGTTTATAATGGGAAATTGAGAAAATTTTGGAAATTTGGAGTCTCCAGATCGTCAGAAAGGGTATTTCGCAATTGTCTCCCTGCCACAACACGTCTCAACGTCTTTAGTTTGTTTGATTGTTAACTCCAATTCAGATTAGAGAGTTCACTTTTTTATGCCCTGACTGAATTACCTGAATTTACCTGAAAATCTACAGGATATCTACCTGAAATTGTTCATGAGCAATATTAGGGGTGTTGCACCCTCCCTCCCCCGGTCGATAGGGCCCTGAGAACTTAGAAAATCTGTAGATTTCAGAAGAAACAGCATACACTGACATTTAACTTTTGAGAATTTTAATGGAAGACAGCCATATGTACATTTACGACATAGAGAACATACGAATATATGTAATTATGTGCATATAATGTTGCTACTTTCAAGTTTAAATCTCATTTGCGTGGCGTGGTTATTCTCCGTCAAAACGTTTTTAGTCCAGGATAAAATGTTTTGGAAATTTCTTAAAAAAATCCTCAAAAACCTAAATTCCTTAAAAAAATCCTTAAAACTCTTCAAAATTCCTATTTTTAAGGATAATTCCTTAAAAGTGAGAGCACTGCATATGACTCCGTGTTTTCCATATTTTTATGACGTCAGACTCCGTGTTTTCCATATGACTCCGTGTTTTCCATATTTTTCTCTGACGTCAGACTCCGTGTTTTCCATATGACTCCGTGTTTTCCATATTTTTATGACGTCAGACTCCGGGACTCCGACTCCGGGGCTCCGACTCCGGAACTCCGACTCCGTGTTTTCCATCTAACCCAATTATTTAGGCTCAGACAATAACCTGAGTATCAGGCCGTACTTTTTAGGGCACAGGCACGCCTGATCGTGGGCGAAGGGGAGAAAAGTACGGCCTGACACAAAAGTGGCATTTTGCCTGGTTGTTCAGTCCAGAATCTGGACTGAGCGCTGATTGGCCGATTAGACAAACGATTTTTAAATCTGTCATTTGATTGGCTGGTGCTAATTAGATTATACTATTGTTGTTGATATATTTTATAACGATCACAACTACAATTATAGCCGGCCCACTAAACGGCTGAATTTAAATTAAAACTGCAGTAAAATTAGAAAATAATCGCAAATTAGCGAAATATATTGCAAATGTAGCTTATATTAAATCGCCATCAGATTGCACTATCGACTGACGTATAGTTATAAAGTATACTTAATATATATACTTTATAATTATACGTCACCGTTTGTTGATAAATACGGCAAGCGCCATGTAAAGCTCATTGTAGTCACTGAAACCTCTGCGGAGGAGAGAGCAATCGGGTGGCGATTTAATATAAGCTACATTTGCAATATATTTCGCTAATTTGTGATTATTTTTGTTAATTTTATAAGTTCATTGCAGTTTTAATTTAAATTCAGCCGTTTAGTGGGCGCCTATGCTATAATTAGATTGTTGTTGTCGTTGTGTGAAATTTAAATTTCTCCTGCGACATTTTGATTGGATACTAAATATAAACTTTGCTGTGGGCGGAAAGCGATCAGGTTAAGTTTTGTGTCAGGCTCTATTTGTAAAATAGAGCCTGATACTCAGGTTAGCTTTAAAATTAGTCTATAATGAGAATTGTCTATTTCCCTCCGGCGTCGTGTGAACGCGACAGCTAATTGTGACTTTTCTGCGCCGTTTTCAAACCATGCACTCTGGCGTGGCGTGAACAGACAACTTGCCAGAAATATATCAATCAATCAAAAACTATATTGACGTGTCCATTTTTCACCTAGCTGAAGAAGATTTCCTTTGCTAATTGGGGATTTTCAGAAATATACGGCACATGTTTGGCGGCTTGCCACACTTGCATGTTTAAGTAAATACCAGGCCTGGGTAAATAGAAAGAGTAAACAGTGCCCTATGACCTGTGTCCAATCTGTTTGCTTGATCATTCGCGATTATTCCTGATTAACGTACTCTAGTAGCGCGCGAAGTCTTTGCGCAATCATATGCAAAGCAACTATATACACGAAACTTCTGTTTGCTTAGAAAGAAAAGCATGGTGTTGAAATATTTATACATTTTCCAAAAATAGCTGTTCTTTTCCCTTCCAGGTATGCATTTGGCGATGCGAGAAGGCCAAGTACAGAGTCTGCTCGACTTATAGAAGGAATAGTCCATCAACAAATATCTAACTTGGTAAGAAATTTGGCTTATATTCTCACTCATGACGACACTTAATTCAAATCACAGAAATGAAGAGTTCCATAGTAAAAGTTTTTTTCTAAAATTCTGATACTGCGAGTGATATACTGCCTGCGCAGAGGACAACGAAAAGTCGTTGTCTCCAGCGGGAACTCACTATGATTAGATGCGAGTTAAAAAGCTGCGGGTACAACCCGCGAGAAAAGTTTACCATACATATATGAGGTCAGTGAGGAATGTTTAATGTGAAACACTCTGGAGACCGCATTTCTGTAGCAATCGTAACATACACATTTGCTAGCAGTCGCTAGCCTGTAGTGTTTGTCTGTATGTGCACGAGTACAATGCAATCAACTAGCTGATCAATGGTAAATACTAGTCCGTAGGAAATAGGAATAAAAAGCCACCAATCCTTCCAAGGTAGCACAAGAACATACATGTCAGTACCTCCCCAACTATCATATGCATTTTAGTGCATTGTTCTGTGTTTGAAGAAAAATATATAAAAAAAAAAACACTAAAAACATTCAAATTGTGTTTACAAGGTTGTTCAAACAGCCGAAGTGACGGCGTTGAGAGGTGGCAAATTCATGCATACAGAAGATATCAAATTTCTTATGCGAAAAGACAAGGTACCGATTAGTGATGTTTTCGAAATTGAGTTGGTTGGAGTTCGCCGAATATAAGCGAAGTGATCTTTTTGTTTCGTTTCTCGCAGGAGAAGTTGAAAAAGTTGAACTTGTACCTCGGTTTCAAGGAAAGCAAACAGAAGTTGGTGAAACAAGTTTCTCAAGAAGACGATGAAATTCTGGGAACCATAGGTACGACAGCTCGTGTTTGTGGCAAACTTTGTTTAAGAAATTGATTTTCAAAATTCTCAATCGCAAAGTAATTATGACTTCTTCATATTTATATAGCTGGAAATGATATGAAAATAGGAAACAAGCGTAGACGGCTATCTGATTTAGGCTCGATCGATCAGAAAGGTAGGTATACCAGTACATTACTGTATATTTTATGAAGCATGCAATGACTGCAGCTCCCTGCCAAAGACACTGGCCCAGACCCTCGTATTCTTTCAATGCGAGATAACACAAAAGCATCTGGAGACCTTCATCCGCCAGATACATCAACCTCCCAGAGTCTGCCGCAGCGAGGCGTAGAGGAGAGCCTGGGAACGAGGTTGCAGGAACATGTGATGGTGAATCTGCAACAAAATGTTTGCCTTCACAAAAGGATCCTATATACGTGATGACGCGATCTGACATACATTATACACCGCTATCAGACCGTGGGTGATTAACATAACTGGCATCTGGCTAAACGCATGTGACCCGCTTTATCTTTTCTCTACAACAGACGATTCTAGCTTTCTTGGAGATGATGGTCACGACCAAAGACGTGAGAGACAAGAGGCAAGTAATCTTTACAGATGAACCATGTTATGGTTCCTGGGTTATGTGGTGTAAATGTTCGATTGATCTCCTAATATGACTTTCCTTGTTGCATTTTGCTTAGAGAGCAGAACGCCTGTCCAGAACACTGGATACTCAGCAGTATTTGGAATTCGTTGAATGTCGTCAAGCAAACTTCAGTAAGTATCATATCTTCCATCCTTAAAGATTTACCATAAGAGCAATCAGGGACTAAAGCCTCTAATTGTCCCCAGATTTAAAGATCTACAGTAACCACTGGACTGACAACAACAACTCCACTTTAGATAAAAAAGCTGGAAAGTTCAAAGAATGGTTGGATTACTCCAACCTGACAGATCTGAAGCCAAATACACCTGTCATGGAGGTGTTCAGTTATCTCGCATACGAAACTGTCGGGCAGGTACGTATATTGTAAGGTATTGTGCCAACTCAAATGTGGTTGCCCTGTCGTTACCATCGTTTAGTAATTGACTACTTTCTAAAATTGGACTCCTTCTACTATTGTGTTAAACGGATGAAGATGTAGATGGCGAAGGTTTCTACCAAAAAGGAATATTCACCTTCTTGGCTAGAGTCTGGAATGTCGAAACGTCGGGTCCTGAATGTAATTCTTTTATTTTCTGAATTGTCTACCAGATTGTGGACTTGGCTTTGCTGGTGAAGAAAGACAGGGAGAGAAGCGATGAACTATCAGCAGTTATGCCACTACTACGAGAAAACAACGCTTCAAAGATCAACCTTCCCTTCATATCGACACCATCAATATCTACAAGTAGGAGTTCCACCCCTACCCCGCCCAGTACCCCCACAACACCAACTGGGGGTGCTCCACCCTCGTTCCCATCAGGCACCGGAGGTACGACGGGAGGTGGGTCAGCAGCGACGTCATCAAACACAGGTGGCCTAAGTTCGTCAATAGGAACGTCGAAATCGTCAAAGAGTAAAAAGAAGAAAGCAAAGGTACTATCCTGTACGCAAAGGTATTCGATAACATGTAATGTTCCTCCCCTTCTTTGCTAAATTCTTTTACATCGATGAACTTTCATTTCGAAAACATGAATTCTTGCAGCACTTTGCGTCGAAGTTATAAAAGCTTATGCCAGGTGCCTAAATTATAGCATAGAAAATCCCAAACAACTCTAGTATTCTTACGATAGCACAGTGTTTCAACTCTATTTCATTAGCTTCTCATCATCAAGTCACATTGCCAGGATAAAGGAGAAGACTAAGAATAATTTTCTTTCTTATCTAGTTAAGTTCAATGGTTTCAAATGATCTGTATTCAGATTGTCTTCAACCAGAACATGTCCGTGAAGCGATGAGACGATACTACAGCAGTACTGGTCCAATGGCTCCGTTTTCGGTATGTTTAATAACAAAGACTTTGTTGCCAG